GGGAGTACTCCAAATTATAAATACTTCACAATGAAGGCTTGAACTTAGACAAAAAGCACCTGCCTACCGAAGGCAAACTACTAAGAGGTACTCCATTATCACACATAGATGAAACATAGCATCAATGCATGATACTCAGCCTCATCATCCAAGCTCCAAGAATATGTGTTGATTTTCTGGATTATGTCTTCAGACTGCAAGGTTGTCTTGTGAAGGTACCCTGCAACATATTTCACATGACAATTACATGTAACAGCAGCAATCTTGATGGACACAAAATAACTACATTCTGAAACTACATCTTCAGAACCACGGCAACTACAAACTCCCGTTTCTCATGATATGTATCACATAGTTTCCTGCCACATATTATATAGCTGTTAATGTTGCACGCAACGACAAAGGCAATGTCTACAGAGTCATTGTGACAGGATGGTATGTCTTTGACCGGTTAAGGTGATAGATTAGTTTGATTTACCGGCGTGGTATCCCAAACCTTAACCTGTCAGGCTCTCCTTTCTCATCATTGTGACAGGTTAAATTGTCGTGATAATACTACAGGATGGTATCGATCGATGCAGGCGGGGTTCGGGGTTTCGAGAATTTACCAGCATGGCGAACGGCTTGGTGCTGCTTCAAGCTCTCGGCCTTGGTGAACACCTCACGGGCACAGCTCCCTCGGCCGAGGGTACCTCCTGAATTGTAACCAATCAATAATGGCAATTAGTTGCTAATCAATGCTGTGGGTTAATTAGTAGTAGTAATAAGCTAACTAATAGAAGAGGATTAAGCAGAAGCGGCAGCGGCATGAGGAGTTGAGAGAAAACCTTGACACGGGCTCGACGTTGATGGCGCGGCACTCGTAGCAGCCGGAGAGTCCACGAAGGGAGGACGGGTGCTTGCCGCCACCGCCCGGCGGATGACGACGAGTGGTGGGCGCGGTGGGAGGAGCGGTTGACCGGGGCGGTCGACGACGACGGACGCGGCGTAGGAGGCGCCGTCGACGGTCGGCCGGTCGCCACGTAGAACATGGAGCAGAGCAACGTCCCCCAGTAGTCCCCGGCGCCGGGGCCGCCTGGTCGTGCACGCCGCGGCCACCGTCGTGCTCCGGCAGCTCAGCAGGCTCTTCAACTGCTCCCACGACGACGCCGGCCGCGCGCGCTCCTGCACAGCCGCCTTCTTCGAGCTGCCGCCGAACCGATGTTGGTGGTCCTTGGACGCGATGAGCCTGTCCTTGGCGTCGGTGGTGGGCGCGGCCAGGGCGGGGCTCTTCTTGGGTGTCCCGGCGCCGGCGCGGCGGACGGGAGTCCTCGGCGCGGGGGAGAGTGGGGGCGGCGCCTGAGGCTTCTTCTTGCGCTTGCTGTGGTGGTTCGACTGCTGGGGCTGCTGGCCGCGATGGCGGTCGGAGGTGTCGGTGGTGGAGGAGGGCAGGAGGAGCGGGCGGCGGGGACGAGAGGAGAGGATCGAGCGAAGAGGATGCGGCGCTGGCCTTTTACCGCTGGTGAGTCTAAGGTTTCCTGACTAAGCGTACGTGAAATCTGAAAAAAAAACACCTAACAAGGCCCCCCGGTCATCTATTTTGATAGGCAATAAAAATGTAAAACACAAAGCAACAGTTGACAGATTGACAGCGAGATAAATCGTACCACACTAAAAAGATCGTGCGATCGATACTGGCCAGCGTGCGCAGGTGCCCCAGTTATGCGGGTAGGCTAGAGAGGTTTATATGTTCGATATGGCGAGGGCCAACCCAGCGATTCAGAAGCAACTATAAAAAGAAGTGTTGAGCATAAAAAGGTGATCTACTCTAGTGGTAATGCTTCTCAAAGTGGGTGGGGTGATATGTTTTTCTTCTTAGGAACTCACTGTAGTGTAATGCCATGAGCATGTGTGTCAAGATTATACCATAATACACTCTTTATATTGCATCATTGGTTTTGTGCTCACTTTGTAGTTTTTTTCCATTGGATTTAGTGAAAGCTCGATGACGATTGCTATGCATCCACTGAAATAACTAAAAGTTCCATCGATTCATTAGCTGATGATATGGTAAGATTAATTAGTCGTCACATTTCTTTCATATAGTTAAGTTTGTAATGTATGACCAAGTGTGGCTCCATTTACCTTCTACCATCCTTATTACTCCCTCCTTCCATCTATACATGGCCTAATGCATTTTTCGAGGCTAACTTTGACCAAATATTAGAGTAATAATATATCACATGCAACTTACACAAAGCATACGGTCAAATTCGTATGTGAAAGAACCTTCTAATGATATAATTTTCACATTATAGATCTCATGTAGTACTATTAATCTTGTCAATAGTCAAAGGCGGTTTTGAAAAATGCATTAGACCCTATACAAATGAAAGGAGAGAGTATGGTGTAGAATCACCCTGAAGAAGGGGGCGGTCAAGGTGTCTCTTATTATGCTGTAGAATTATCATGAAGGAAGGGGGGTGGCCGAGGTGTCTCTCAGTCCGCATTGGCTCGTGGATCCTCTTGTCCTCTCTCTCAAAGCATCCGGACTGTTTGGCTCTTGTGGACCGTTGTCGGTTAGCTAAATGGGATGGGGGTATAGAGGCTCAGATTACAAAGGGACTACAAAGTTTCGTTTGGAAAAGCAGCTCTGCAGGACTACTCGCCTAGGAATCAGGAAGTGCGGTGCAGACCGAATTAGACACCAGATCTTACATCTGTAATATAGGTGGTTGTGTCAAAGGTCTCGGGAGAGGTGTTGTCTGCATAGGCTTGGCCGCTTGGCCTGGCTGCAGTGGTCGGGACATTAGGATAACCCGAGAAAAATAGAACAAAGATATCATGTAAATGACCAGTATCTGATTTGAGTATGTGAAATGAGGTACTCCCTCCGTAAACTAATATAAGAGCCTTTAGAAGTCAAGTGTTCCACTGAGAATAGAAATGAAATACTTTTATGCTTATTTAAAGATATTTGTATTATTCTACTGAATTCCATCGAAGGTAGTCTATTTAGCTGACTCAATCCCTACCGCTACTTGTATGGTACTCATTCCGTCCCAAAATTCTTGTCTTAGATTTGTCTAAATACGGATGTATCAAGTCATGTTTTAGTATTAGATACATCCGTATTAGACGAATCTAAGACAAGAATTTTAGGACGGAGAGAGTAGTATTTAGTATATTATTTATTTGATTTCCCAACTAATTGAAATCTTTGTTATCACTCTTCTCCATGAATGTGTGCCTAGGTGCACCTGGCTCGCCTGGTTTTTCTTTGTTGCTGAACATGGTGGCCCTTTGGGTAGAGTCCTAAGATTTTTTTCCCCTTCAAATCTGTGCTTCTAAGATTTCATTAATGCACCATCCATACAATCTATGATGCCCAGTCATGTCTCCTGTTACATGTTTATTTTTTATGTTGCTTGTCTTGGCTGATTGATTGGTTGTATTTACTACATATATTGCTGTGTATGTTGTTATACCAAGCCAATTTGTATATGTAAACCTTCCTTTTCCCTGAGTATATGAGATTTCGTTGATTATATTGACTAATATATAAGGTTATGTTTGCACAACTATAATATGTTTCATGTGCCCATATATTTACAAAAAACCGTATCACTAGTTATGCAGAACGCCAGCACGGAAACACGAAATCATGGGTAATGCAGTAATAATAAGCTAATAAGCACACAGGCACGAGCGCCATCAAGGTTGTGCATATGTTTGCTCTTTCCGTGTACTCTCATACTTACTTCAGAGAATGATGGCCAAGTAAAATGGAGACACTGCATGGCCACAAAATATATTGAACTGAATACGGTCACTAGCAACACTGTAATGTTTGTTGAGACAAATATATAAGATAAAATAGAGTAAACATAACTAATCGTTTTAGCGGGACAGCCACAACCTGACGAGATGTACCGTCTTTCAGATATTTGGAATGAACCAAACTTGCTGGGGACAAAATGCAGAATATTTAGATGCAGGAAGAACTTCCTCAAACGTCTGATTTTCCAGGTCATAAATCACTACACCTTTCCAGCCCCTGAGACCAAAATTTGCTTCCTGTGTCAACCAAGGTGTGGCAAAATAGACATGGTTGGGTCTTAGCTCCTTGTAATCTTTGGTATGCAAACATACGGATTCATTCAACCCAACAAACACTGCGTGCTCCTGGAAGGCTGTGGCAGAACTCAGTCTGACAAGTTTGTGCTCCTCGACATTGACTTCAAACACCTCAACCATGACCTTCCTAGGATGATCATTGCGCCGTTGAGTTCGGATCTGCAGGAGACAACCCCAGGGAGTAGACACCAGGAACCGGGTAAGAATCCTCCTGTATCTTCCATCCCCGCCAGCAATGATCACCTGTTTGTTTGGTTCATGCGCTGGCTCTCTATTGAGATCCCATGTCTCGACCACCCCACACATTGTCACCGTGTAGAATCTGCCATTGTGGTAGACACAATCAGCGTATGAATCCTTCCCCATCTCACTAAGAGCCGTACCATGTCGCCAGCTGTTCTCTCTTGCTCTCGCAAAAGAAACCTGATTATTCCCATAGATGGCCATGGCAATGTAGTCACCACCGTCGTGAGATGGAGATGGATCAGATGACAACACCACCTTCTGGTAGAACCAGCGGCCAATGTAATCTGGAGGACTGATAAGCTTGTCAGAATTTCCATAATAATAACCAGCAATGCTTCTATCATTGTCGTAGACTCCCTCGACACATTCCAGATCAGTAATAGGCGGGAGAGGGATCATGGCCAACGTGAAGGGATTGCAGAACAAAAGATTGGAGAGTTCGTCAGAGGCAATGAGCCAACCATGGGAGGCTCCACACCAAGAGAGGTTACGCCGTCCTTGAGGATAGCTAACCATGTGTATCTTATCGGGGTCGAGAACGTTGCGGAACTCACTGCCTTTCGTTTTCGTGAGAGGCTCAGATTCGCGGGACACAAGCCAAGGTGTGCCAGAACGGACGCCGGAAGCCACCGCGGCAGAGCGCCATGAAGTGCAGACGGCTGCCACAGCAAGAGCTCCGGGGAGCTCAAGGTGTTGCAGGATGCGGTCAAGAAGATCCCAGGGAAGGTCCGACCAGCTCCTAGCACAATGATCTGCCATGATAGAAAAAAAGAACAATTTTTACAGCCTCGGGACGTCCTGCCGGAGCAGATTATATTAACTGCGTAGCAACCAAACAGAATTCGACTCGGAATTTCAATAAATACCTGACTTATTTTCTCGCGGCAGGGATAGCACGATCCACAGGATGGTTTTGAAGATTTGTATTCCGGCAATGAAAGCGGCGACTTCGGCGAGATCTGCGGCCATTTGGGGCTGTCCTTCGCGGTAGTAGGTTCTAGG